GATTTAAACTTTAACTGCACATTTAAACACCAATTTATAGTGCAGTTTAAACCAAACAGTTTGAAATTTTTTGTTCAAATAAAAAGTTTAAATCAACACAATGAGAACTAATGAACCAAATGAGAGTTATATGGCATCGTTCACTTCACGGATTCGAGTTTTCAATTCGAGTTGAAATGTGACATATTCTGAGAGCTTTTCACTGTAGTAGAAAAAGTTAGATGTGACATTTTTTAAGAGTTTTTTACTGTAAAAACTTAAAATTAAAAACTCGAATCGGTGAAATTAACGAGACTATAAAGTATAGTTTTTACTACTCATTTTGCAAAAAAACCGTCTTAGTTCTTAATATTCTAAATTTTTTTTGGTTTAAATTAGTTTAATTTTATTTTGTTTTATTTTTATTAATTTCAGCGGGATTTTATTTTATCTTAGCTTTTTTTTTTTTGTTTATATTCTAATTTTTTGTTTTATTTTTATCTGAGTAGTACGGTAAATCTCGTTCAGAACAGTGTTGACCACAAATGATTCCAAAACAAATAAATATAATTGTAAAACTGGACCTGATTTAAGGCCGTCGGATCAAGATATCTAGCAGTCGTGATGAGCGCTGTGTGCACGCGCAGACAACAGCGCGTGAGGCGCAGGCAACGTCAGCTGTTCGGCGTCAGGGTGCGTCCCGCCGCCACTATCTTCCACAAGCAAACCAACGCCGACACGTGGCCTTTACTCTGAGCTCTTTTTTGTAGCCAATGAAAAACGGACACGTTTCCTATAACTGAGGAACAAATTGTTGTTTGCCACGTGGATTACACTAAAGAAATTTTCTAGTCAAAATCGGTCACGTGGCAATTTCAGTGAATAGCAAAACACGTGTTTTGTTTCTCCTTCCCTTCTTTTGCTTTGTGCAGTGATTTGTGCGATTGTTTTTGCAGCGAAACGTTTTTTTTATTAGTATTAGAAAACTCACTCTAGTTTAAATCCACGTTTATTTTATCGATTTAAGTTTTATTATAGTAAAAAATTTTAAAAAATAATTATATTTAATTTTTTTATTATAATAAAAAATTCTTATATAAAATTACATCTCAATTTAAATTAAAAATTTAAATTAATAAACTAAATATGTCCTAAAATATCTATATAACAATATATAAAAAGTCAAGCTCTTTTGAATAGTTCTCTTTTCTATGGCTGTCATTCTGTCTTTTTTCCTTTTTTTTCCTCTTTTTTTATCTTTATTTTTTATTTTTAAATAATTTTTTGTTATTATTTTTTTTTACAATTTAATTTTTTATGTGTTCTTTAGAAATAATTTTTTACTACTTTACTCTTTTGGGAGTAATTTCTTACATTGTTACTTAATTATTTTCTGCATAATTCATATCACATCAATAGTTATTTTTATTTAATTATAATTTAACAATACATAAAAAAGTTAAAGTAATTTTCTACGGGCCTGCCACGTGACAGACTCTCAACTTATCTCTTTTTTTTCTTCCTATTTTTATCTCTATTTTTTTGTTTTTTTTTTACATTTTAATTTTTTGTGTTTTTTAAACATATATTGTTCATCACTTTACTTCTATAAAAGTAATTTTTTTTACATGTGTTCTTATTTTAGTTTTGATTCGATATAATAATATTTTTTAAATGTGTCCCTACTTATTTTTTAGTCAATTATTATCTTTACCTATATTTATTTTTTAAAATAAATTTAAAAATTCTTAAATAGTCGTATAAATAAATTTCTTCTTAAGTAAATAATAAATTTTTTAAGTGTTTTTAATACAATAATACGTGCAGGTACTTTATAAAACTAGTATTTCGAGACAAATACCAATTAACAGGAGTTAGAAAAGTACCTTACTTCCTGTTAGAGTCAAACTTGCAACTTTTCAGAGACTCTTGTTATTGAGCCTGGTCAAAGACTCATTTGCAACATTACGGTCCTCAAATATCGATTCAAATGTTGGACATTATCACGACATATACATTAAAGTGACTCACTTGCATAGAAGAGTCACTGGTGGGCCATGAACAAAGGCAAAGTGGGCATGCAACTCCTCAGAAATTGTAAATAAAGTTCAGTTATTTTTCTTTCCTTTGCTTTTTTTTTTTGGACGTTTTCCCTTTTTCTTTGACTCATCGTTGATCATAAGCTAGGTGGACTTGGAGGCATGCATGGAGGAGTGATTTTGTGAGAGAACCAGTTTTCTGGTGAGGTATGATCAAATACTCTATTCGTACTATTTGTCTCTAAATTTTTTGTTTTCGTTCAATGATTTTTCTTTTCATTTTTTTTTTTTGACATTTTCCCTTTTTCTTTGACTCCTCGTTGATCATGAGCTAGGTGGAATTGGAGGTGCGGAGACAGGAGTGGTTTTGTGAGAAAACAAGTTTTATGGTGAGGTATGATAAAATACTCTATCCATACTTTATGTCTAAGTTTTTTCACTTTTGATGCTACAAAATACAAGGAATAAAATTCAGAGTCTCGGAATCCGTATCGAGTAAATCAAAAGACATAAGTTCACAAATAGAAGTTTGTTAAGAACTCAAGATTAAGATAATTTTATATATGACCATCGGTAGACTCAATTAAAATTTCTATGCTTAACGAAAATTATTAGAAATTCATATTGTGTTTGCGTCCATGTTCCACATAATCTTATTATGCGTAATACACTCATTCAATATCTCACCATATTAACAGTGCAGATAGCACCGTTCCATTCTAAATGGAAATGACATGTATTAATAATATTTTAATTAAAGATTCTGAACTTTAATTAAATTAATTATGAACAATGTTTTTGATTATTATCCTTAAATACTATCCTCTCATATATAACACTTATATACTATGTTTAAGATTACATAAATAATCACAAAATTTTCATTTAATATTCATAAATATATGCACATAAAATAATAAATAAACTCTTTTATTAATTAAATAATAAATATCCTATTATATCTTATTCTTTTAGGACACTATTCTCAACATTGTCAGTTGTCACAATCTGGGGTTGTTCAATTCTTTAAAAAGCTTACATTATTCAGATCCCGCAATTCGTTCGGATTATATTGCCTCAAGTTTGTGTGATCTTTCCATGGAGGATTGCCTGAAGCAGTAGGGGACAACATCTAATCACAAGTCCAGGTTATTGCCACTCATTCCGTCTCTGTTATCTACAATAAGTTTAAGTGCTTGGTCATAACATAGCGAGCTTGGAAGTAACATAATGAATTATTTGTTTAGCTTTTCGACTTGCCTATAAATAATCTGGCCCTTTTATTACTGAAACAAACTCTACAGAGAATACAATGTACAATTAATTCTTCAACATCATTGTCGTAGTCTCATCATCAGATTCATCACTCTTTACAAGACTTTGACTCCACGTTATTATGTTTTTTTTTTTTAATTATCACACCAGATTATTTCAGTAACTGCACAAGTTTTACAATTAAAAGTAGTGATTTCTTTGTTTACTTATTGATCGGAATAATGACTTTTGGTAGTTTTTGACTTTACAGTTGGTAATTACCTCAAGTTATTATAAGCTCGTTTATTTCATGCGTTTAAATTAATAGTTTTAATTCTGTTACAGTATTTTCTTCTCATTAAAAATTTAAATTTTAAATGCCATAATAAAAAATTACTAATTTAAACGTATAAATGCTCTACAATTAATTGTAGTAAACTTTACAGTTAAGACAACAAAACAACCAAAGTGTTATTTTTTCAAAAACAAAATCAATGTTATGAATACCGTTTCAAGTGGTACATAAGAACTAAGAATTTATGCCGAGCGTTTTCATAAACAAAGGGCCCGTTCGGTTCGCTAATTCAAGTTGAAATGTAATGTTGTGTGAGAGCTTTTTACTGTAGTAAAAAAGTTAGATGTGATTGTTTCTGAGATCTTTTTATTGTAGTAAAACTCGAATATGCGAAAAGAATGAGGCCAAAGTAACAACTTATCCCGAGGAAAACAAAAGATAATGTTTTAAACGACATGTAGTTTTTGTCAATAAGAAAAGAACAAACTTTTTTTTTTAAGAAAATTAGTGAAATCACCTTTAATTATGAGATTTTTACACTTTATCTTAATTAATACCTTTTTGACTAATATAGTTTTTTAACTAAAAGATATTAATCAAAGTGTAAGAAGAAAATCCAAGACTTGAGTATTATGGGGTATTTATCTCTTTTTCTCAACTAAAAAGTTACCAAAGACAATGTGGTATAGGGTTTGATGTTGACTTTTTTTTTTTTTAATAAAACACTATGAGAAGTAAGGCTGTAAATTGGCCGGGTTGGGCTGGGTAAGCCTAAAAGTTTGGGCCGAATTGATCTCTTTGGGTTAATAAAAGTCTGGGCCGAACTATCCCACCAGGCCTACATATCCGAACTGATTCGGCTTGCTCGGGTTCGGCTCGGCTTGGCTCAGGGTGTCGGGTTAGGCTTAAAGATTGCTGAAAGTATTGTCTTCTTTACGCCATTGTCATACAAGCTGGAAACTGACTTACAGGCTAAAACCTTTGATGAAAACTCAGCTGACCAATGACAGAAGATGGTAAGAGATTTAGCAATGAGAGGAGAAAGAAAAAATGAGATATGAAGCGAGTTAGGATGACATACTGATATAGTGAGAGATGGAGAGAAGATAAAAAACAAAAGAAAGAGAAAGAAAGACGAATGGGCGGTTGTTTTTAGACTAGGGTTTGAAGGTTCTTTTAATTGTAATATTGTTTTAATGGAGAGCATTAGTTGCTGATGCTTGATGACACCTAATGGGAAATAAGAGTCTTAACTTTTGAGGTGGCAAGATTGAATTGACACTTAGCTTTTGTAATAATAACATTAGTCTACATGTTAATGTTCCAGTCTTACTCTTCTTTTTTCCTCAAAAAGTACGGATGATGCCTTGAAAATATGTGTTTTTAAAGCCAAATGAGTATAATATTTCAAAATTTTATTAGAAAAAGTTTCATTATGTCTTTGTATTCAGTCGGATTAGGGTCATCGGGGTTTAAAAATGTCAAGCCGCCGGCCGAGCTGAGATCTTCCGGTAAGCAATTTTTAAGACTGAAAAATTAAAACTCAACTAAAAACTGACATTTTCAGGATTTTTCGGGGCGGCTCGGCCGGGTTTATCGGGTATTCACGGATTTCTTACACCCCTAGTGAGAAGTTCAACTTCAAGGACTTAACTGTTAAAATTATATATTAATGGCTAACTTATTATTTACTAAAGAACATGGGACCCTTTACGCCAATTACGATTTTTTAATCTTGTCTTTAAATTGATTTTGAAAACGTTTCGAGCTTAAACATTTCAATTTGAATTTCATTTTATTTATTTACTTCCCCGTAGCATTTCTCTACTAGAGAATACTGGAGACGCGTGCACATAGTGGAAAAGTTTTAAGAGTTTTCGATCGGAGGAGCAGAGCAGATTGGAAATGGCGACGGAATCGTCGGAGGGAGAAGAGGAAGTGAAGCTGACAGGAGGGAACCAGGTTTTAATGGTCGACGACAATCTCCGAGAAATGGGGAAGAAGGCCGCTTGGAGCGTCAGCTCTTGCAAGCCCGGCAATGGCGTCTCCTCTCTCCGCGACGACAATCTCGACTCCTATTGGCAGTCAGTCTTTGCCCTAATTCTTTTCTTCTTTATCTTTTCCCCAAAAAAAAAAAAAAAACAATTGTAAAATAAAAAGATCGAGAAATTTTTCCTGATCATGTTTCTGCTTGGTTTGCAGATCAGACGGCGCTCAGCCTCACCTCGTAAACGTTCAATTCCAGAAGAAAGTAAAGCTCCAAGTATGTTGGATTTTCATGGATTTCATTTCTCAGCTCTTTAATTTCTAATTTTTGGTCGTTTATTTCTTTTAATTTCCTTTTTTTTTTTCTTTTCAGCTTGTTGTTCTCTATGTGGATTTCAAGCTAGATGAGAGCTATACGCCGTGTAAGATATCTATTCGCGCCGGGGATGGGTTTCACAACTTGAAGGTAATTTTCTATAATTTATCTTAATTTTGTAGTTAATGATCTTGATTATAAATTATTTAATTTATTTATTGCTTGGTTTTGTTTTTTAGGAGATTAAAACTGTGGAACTTGATAAGCCAACTGGTTGGGTTTACATATCCTTGTCTGGAAACGATCCAAGGTAACTGATTAAAAGCATAATTCTATCTGAACTTCTGTATTTCCTTTATATACCTGATTTAGACCTTTTTATTTATTTATTTATTTATTTTTTTCAGTTTACAGTTAACAAATGTGGTCAAATGCATCTTAGAATAACTGCTTCTTTCTTGTAAGATATTATATGTGAATGTTGCGAAATTATTTTTGATTTAATTTGAGTGCGCGCGCTCGCAAGTGAACGAACCGCAAAAGTAATAAAGTGTAATTAAGTACATATATCATTGCACAGAGATTGAGGCCTCGTTCGGTTCGCGGATTCGAGTTTTTAATTCGAGCTGAGATGTGATTTTATGTGAGAACTTTTCACTGTAGTAGAAAAAATTAGATGTGATTTTTTATGAGAGTTTTTAACTGTAGCAAAACTGAAATTGAAAACTCAAATTGGTGAAAGAAATGAGGTCCGAGTTTCGAAAATTAAACTAAGTACCACAATATTGATAACTTTACTTTATTTGGGCAACCGAATTTTGAAAAGAAATTCACTAAATTAAAACAATATAAATTATCTCTCTCGAGTGACTAACTCATACATCAAATCATCTAATCTATTCCCCAATAAATTAGAAGCATTAAGAATGTGACAACATAATTAAACCAAGAAAAATCACTTAAAATAAATCTAACACTTCATAATTAGGTAAAATCAAGCTCTAGAAATAACAACTACTCCATAACTAATATTAAACATGCTAAAATTATGGATTTCATCGTTCATTCACAAATCACAAAAATAAAAAGATGAGAATCGGAAAGAAAAATTCATTTTGGAGTTGTCATAATCTCCAAATTCTCTTTCTTGTCCTCTCCTATTTCTTTGATCTCCAAATGCTTTCTCTCATGATGATTTATTGAAAATAAAACCTAAATCTAAAACTGGAAATAAATCCTAAATCTAAAAATATTTATTTTACTTTTTTTTTTTTCTATTTTTCTTCTCTCTCTCTCTTTCTCTTTTTTTTTCCTCTCTCTTCTTCCTCATTTCCCTTGTTTTCTTTGGAAGCTCCCTTCTGGTCTCCCTTGCTGGTTCGTGGAGCTCAAGTCATGAGCTGATGAAGAACGGGCACAAAAAGCCCAAAAAAATCCCCCCTTTAGGCCCCGTTCACTTCGCTGATTCGAGTTTAGAATTCTAGTTTTTCTACAGTAAAAAGCTCTCACAAACAATCACATTTAACTTTTTTGCCACAGTAAAAAGTTCTCACATAAAGTCACATCTTAACTCGAATTCTAAACTCGAATCAACGAAGTGAACGAGGCCTTAATTCACGCCAAATGGGAGAAAAGTAGGCTCTGAGTGAATGCGCCATGTGGCAAGTTCCAGTTGGCGATGGGAGAACTTGGCGACGTGGCAGTGTGTAATAGGACGAGAGAAAGGGTGTACGAGAATCTCAGTTCGGACGCCTGCACGCGAGCAGAGGGAGCTGGAGATAGTGGGGGACAGCCACGCGACGTGGCACGCGCTGATTGGCTGTTCTTTGCTTCTTTGTCTTCTTGAACTCGCATTCTGAGAGGTGCTGCACACACGCGATCTGGTCCGTTGGTGGTACCGATCTGACAGCCACAATCGGTTTCTTTTTCTACTCTCCAGATTGGGTTTCGTTTGGTCTAAATTCTATTTTCAATTTTTGATTTGTTTCTTTACATTTTGACCCCATTGCAGCTCAAAATTTTACAATTAAGCCCACATGTCACCAAATTTATTATATAAATAAGGAAACTAATTATTTTTGAAGGGAAACTAAAATAAAAATTACTAAAACTAAACTAAATAGACTAAAATAAAATAAAATAAATCTAAAATGAAAAGTATTCATTAAAATTCAAAATAAAGTAAAATAATATAAAATAAGCTAAAAATCTAAAAAACTAACCACTTTAAATGAACAAAAATAGTGAAATAACTCTATTTTTAATAGAGTAATCACACCCCAAACTTACTATTTTTGCTAGTCCTCGAGGAAAACAAAAAGACCCAAAAAACAAAGTGTGAATTTTGTGGGTGAATTCTCAAGAAGTTTTTTCTCGAAAATTGAATTAGAAACACAGCTTAGAGAAAAACACAATTTCCAACTAAGTGTTGATTTTAAATCCAAAAGATTGTTTCTTCTCTAATTGGACCTTTCTCATGTGTGTGTGTGAATAACTAAGTGCTATATCATAATTGTCAATCTAAATAGGACCATGCAAACATGCTCTATGCAAAGAATCTCTAAGTATGAGTTTCAAATTCCATAGGCTCACTTTTCAAAACTCTCTGTACTAATGTAGATCAATACATTACCAAGGATCAATAGGACTTTTTAAGCTTGTAATGTTAGGCTAGGGTGAAGGTAGGATATGAGGTAATATTGGGGCTCAAATCACTTCTAAACACATCAATCATTCTATGACCATAGAAGAGCTCAAATAACACACCAAAGTAACACCCCAAACTTAATTTTTACATTCTTTTGTCATCCACTTTTCTTTTTTCTTTTTTTTTTTTTTTTTTTTTTTTTTTTTTTTTTGAGTTACTACACCCTCAAATTTGTTTCATTCTTACATAAATTAAGCATGTAGCACTTTTTCCTTCCTTTTTTTTTTCTTTTTTTTCCAATTTTTTCAATTTTTTTTTACTTTATTATTATTATTATTATTATTATTATTATTTTAACAAATCCCCTCTACCCCCAAACTTAAAATCAACATTGTTTTCAATGTTGCAAAAAGGGAAAAGAGGGTAAAGTAAACTCCCTTTTTTCATTCATATCTTTTTTCTTTTTTTTTTTCCTTCATTTTATTTGTTTACATATTCATCACAACAAATAAATTTTCACAACACCACCCTTCCTCCCATATACTAAAATAGCTCAATGTGTGTCCTAAAATGACCAACATGCTTATGGGTGAGGAATAGAAAGTTGAATAGGCTAGGTTAAAGATGTGGGTAACAAAGAAAATAATATAAATAGGCTCAACAAGGTCTACTAGGGATATAATATGTCAAGGTAGGCTCAAAAAGCTCAAACGGTCCAAAGATGACCTAAATCATTTCTTCGGTAAAGTGCTTACCTAGGATTTCGCCTCAAGAGTTCATCAAGCAAGTTCTAGAGCTTGTGGGATCTAAGAATAGAACACATGTACACAATCTTTCTTTAGAGATCCAATGAATCAACAACACTAGGCTACGTGCGCAAAATGAAGAAAAAATCACAATCTTTAAATAAGGCAATCAATTGAATTCAAGCACAAAACTTAGTAGAAAGTCATCATTTTCTAGAAGCTATGCTCAATCCAATCACATTCATCACGGGTTCAAGAGAATTCACCACAAAAATACACCAAACATCAAGAAAACACAAAGACTCTAAAAGTTTTTTTCTTTTCTTTTTAAAATGCAAAAACAAACATATATACAAAAACAAATAAAGTTTTTCCCCAAACTTGTTAAGCACAATGTCCTCAATGTGTAGGCAATCAAAAACACAAGGAAATGTTTAAGAAACTTCCTTATGTCAATTTGGCGCTTAGGCTTTAATGCTTGCTCACTTTCTCGAATTGAAACCATCCCTTAAGCTCCAACACTTGCACCTACAAAAGAGAAATACCAAAGCAAAGTGAAAAGGCTCAAAAAAAAAAAAAGAACTTAAAATGAAAACTCGAAATGAAAGAAAATAAGTTTAGGAAAGTTTGGGTTGCCTCCCAAGGAGTGCTTGTTTTAACGTCTTCAGCCGAACCTTTGGAGAAGCGCTCAATAAGAGCGGTTTCCTCCCATAGTAAGTGTTATATAACACTACATATGGGTCTTGGTTTTGGGTGCCCTCAAGCTTAGCAAGATGCGGAAATATTTAGCACGTGGCACCAACATGATTCAGCTTCAGAGAATGGACTTAGTGGGCTTGAAGAAACAGTGCTAACTTCGATGGACGAGGTGTTGGTCACATTGGATCCTCATAAATATGATCTTTAATTACCGGTGTGGAGACAATTAGTCGGGCCTCATAGACTTGTTCTTGTGATTCTTCTTCAATAATTAAGTCTTCAATCTCTTTCTCACTTGAAGAATCTTCGAACTTAGAATCATCATCAAACACCTTCAAGTGCTCCTCACACGGGGTATACTCCTCAAGGAGGCAATCTTGCTTGTATCCAATTGGAACATCCTTAGAAGGAGTGGATGCTACCAATTCTTCAATTTGTTTTTCCATTGCCTCTATCTTTTTTAAGGTCGCAAAGGAGTCTTCAACCATTGCATTCGACTTTGTCAACTTCTCATCCAACCTCTCCATATATTGATGCGTCTCCTCCATAAAGTCCTTGAATAAGGCTTGAAGTTTCGAAGACACACCCGTCTTTTGAGGTTGGTTGCCAAACCATGGCTTCAAACTGTTGAAATTGTTCCAACACCAATGATCAGACTCTGCCATGTCTTCTAACATCCAATAGGCATCATCCAGAGATAGTTAGTAGAAAGAGGTGGTACCAATCTCGCTTTCTACCCAATTTCTTGTTGTGGCACATAAAAGTTGACATTCCCTTGAGAACCCATGGTAAGGAAACCGAACTAGCATCTCCTTATATCTCCACCATGCATTATGCATTGGTTCTGAATCATATTGGGCAAAACTCAAGAATACTTGACAAAGTACCTCAAAAAACGAGCAAAACAAACAAATTCAAAAACAAAAGAAAGTAAAATAAAAGCAAATAAATGGTCAAATTAATCCTAGAGCTAATTTGTACCGATATTAACAAAAATCAAACAAGCAACCGAATTTTTGAAAGAAATTCACTAGATTAAAACAAGAAATAAAACTAGCAATAAAATTAGGAGACTATTTGGAAACGAGGATCGAATGGAACTCTGATAAAGTAAGGCGGCTAGGGGTTTCAATTTCACTCAACTAAGCTATGTTTATCCAATTCCTAGGCTTGTTAATTAGTTTCACTCAATTCATTAATCTAGGTTTTCGAAGGTAATTTCACTCCCTCTCCCGAGTGTTGAGTAAAAATTGTGCGCAAAATCAATTAAGCAATATTTCTATTAACCTAACCAATTAAGCACCCAATAAGCTAACCTATTCTTGATTACCCAAATTAATTGGCCTTCTGAATTCAACTAATTCTAGGTTGTGTTTCCCAAATCCCAACATGTGAAAGTAACTTTTTCAAGCCTAAATCCACACATCTATGTTTATAATTCATGAAATCACAAAGTAGAACAATTGACACAGAGAAATACAAATGAATTGAATGAAAATTCCTTAACAAGCACTTGAAATCTTCAAAACATAGTAATAGAAGAGCTACATCAAAACCCCTAGCTTAAAGAGTTTAGCTGGAGTAATACATCAAGAATCCAGAATCAAAATCCATAAACAAACTCAGAATCAAATCCATCAAGCACAAAATAGAGAAAACTACAAGTTTATAAGCTAAAGAGAAGAGGAGAAGAAACTAGAAAGTTGTTGAAGAACAAGCTCCCCAAGGTCTTCAATCTTCCGTCCAATCTCCCATAAATGCTCTTCAAACCTTCTATTTTCCTCTTGGGGTTCTGAGTTTTTTTTGTCTCCAAGGGTCCCCTTTGATTCTTAGGTTATTTTCTATTTATATCCTCTTGAAATCAGTGCAAATGAAGCCTTAAATGACTGCAAAACACGTGGAGACGCTGCACCACCGTTAGGATTTTTGAGAAAACCCTAACAGTGCAGGTAAACCCGCTGCAGCGGGTGTTTTTCCCGCTGCAGTGGCTTTTCAGGATCGGCAGAGAGCGCTGCAGCTCAAAAAGTAGGCGCTGCAGCGTCTGAGGCAGGGTCTAGGGCTGGTTTTCTGCTGTTTGCACTGCAACGCGAAGTCCATTCTGCTGCAGCGGCTTCATGGCTTGATTTGGCTCCCATTTCCACTCTTTTGAAGACCTTTTTATTCATTTTAACTCAAACCTACAAAAGTAAAAATAAAACACAATAAAACACGCTAAAAACAGCAAGAACCAACAAAAATAGCCAAGATTGGTAAGTAATAAAGGCGAGCTATTAGTGAACATTTATGGGTGCTTCTTGTTGTGAAATGGAAAAGCTGATAACTTTTGTATCCATCTAGTTCATTACAATCACTAATATCTAATACTTGGTCCAGTGTGTGTGTTTTCAAAAGATAGAGTGGGAGAGAGATAGAAGATGGGGTGACGATATATAGGGGCGCGTTTGGAACTCGTTTCAAAATGATTTTATTTTTTGTATTAGAATAAAAATGAAAACGTTTTGAATCTCAGACAGAAATCATTTTTGAAAATGTGTTTGATAGTTTTATCAAAAGATTGTTTTCAGTATAAAAAAACTCATTAATGTCTCTCTCTGCTCGAGAGAGGAGAAAATGAAAACAAAAAATGAAAAACGATTAAGAATTGTTTTTCATTTCTCTCTCATTTTACACTAAACCAAAAAATCGTTTTCATTTCTTTTTTTTTTCTTTATTGCGTCAAACGCTGTTTTGAAAACGTTTTCATTTTTTCTTTCTCGAAAAACATGAAAAACAAAAATGAGATCAATTCCAAACACAGCCATAGTTTGTTTGTTTGTTTTTTTTTTTTTTTTCTTTGGTGGGTGTGGGGGGAGTAAAATTTCAAGGACCCGAACATTCCACTCAATTTTTGATTCAAGGGAATGAATGACATTTTGAGAAATAGAACCAGAAATTTAAGGGAAAAGTATAGAATTTAGAAAATGCATGGGCTGCAAAATTAACGACTGAGATACGAGAAGAAACCCAATATTCAATTTCAACCTGTCATAGGTGTCTACATGCGAGTTTAATTAGCCAAAGGTATCTTTCAATAGTTGCTTGCAGCAGCTAGGTCACCATTTTTTAATCTCTATACATGCTTTAAAAGTGTTTTTGATAGTGCTTGGTTGTACTTTGGTTTGCTTGATGTTGCTACATGGATTTAGCGGCATGTAAAAGAACCATGAGAAACTGCCTGGATCTCCCTTTCCCTGATTCTGAAAGGGCATAAAGCTTTAAGAATATAGTTTACATGTTCGATACAATTCCTGATAATGGTTTTTTGTGCGTTTGTTCTGAAGTGATTTCAACCAATGTGTTTGGCAGGGAAACTTTTGTCAATACCTTTATGTTGCAAATTGCTGTGTTGTCTAATCACCTTAATGGGAGGGATACTCATGTTCGCCAGATCAAAGTCTACGGGCCCCGACCGTGCGTTTTCTTTATACTTCGTTGCTTAATGGTTTGTTAACACTGAAGCTGGCCTTACAAGTAACTTCATTTCACTTGAGTTTCCCACTGCAGGAACCCTATTCCTCACCAACCATTTGAGTTTACCTCGCGGGAGTTCATTACTTACTCGTGTATACGATGAGACTGTATACGAGCAAATATGAGTTGGGTGAGGAACCATGTGATCCGCGAGCCACAATGAAAGTTTGAAGCATGTAGGATTTAGACACTCCAAAGTTTTACTGTAAATCGGTAACAGAGGTTAGTTGACCCCTTTAAGTATTTCCAATATGAATTGAGCTGGGGAGTTATTATTTGGGTGCTTTATGTCTTTGGTGCTCGTTTATAGTCTGAGAAATGGAGGAATGTTCCAGGACTTAAACTGTGATGTGCTAACTTTCTTGTAAGTGTCACTGCCCATGAGGCTGCGTGAATGTTCTGATTGGTGGTTTTTCTAGGGGTAATGTTTTCCTAGAAATTGATTCAAGAGAATGACTATAAGACGTTATCTATTATCACGTGAACGAAGAATGGCTAAAATGTTTCGTGAAAAAAGACAACAAAAAATAGCAACAATGGGATATAAACAGCACTCAAAAGTTACAACACTGGTGAAGAAGATTAAAAAATTATATCTTTAGACTAAATCCACAAGGTATTTACTAATTTTACAATCACTTCTCAAAAGAATTGTTTTCTTTTAAACAAATGGATTCTTAGTGGTGATGCACCATTCAATGACATTGCTCTGCCTCTGTTGTCCACTAAAATAGGCTTTTTTGGCAGGAAGATAATTGCTTCCGACATAAATGTGGCGATATACGCCGGTGCTTCTCTGAACCACCTAGGCATACTTCTCGTTGAACTTGTTCTTGTTTGTCTCTCTTCCATTATAGAACTGGCGAGCTTGCTAAGACGGCATGTGCACATAGGATGGACAGACAACGATAACTTGAAAATTTACGCATGATAGTAATGACAACGTTTACATTTAAGGACAACATTGAGAAAGCAGAAAAAAAATCATAAAGGACAACGAGTTCAAAAACGACCATATCCCAGTGCCACAAATGATCGTGCAAAAAACGACTTGTATTATAAAGTAAAATAACTGTAGAAACGACATTGCCTTCAATAAACGACAACACTTGACATTTGTTTTCAGAAACCACAACATGATTGGAAAAGTACGACGTTTCATAGGACAACATTGTTTGTTTTACGAGAATGTTTAGGACTATGGCAAGTCGGCAACGTCTTAAAGAAAGAAAACTTTAGATAATAGTAAACGACGAAATTTGTCAAAAACAACAACCACGACAACAATAACTATAACAAACGACAATATCTTACAGTGACGAGATGAAAAGCGTCAACCTCTATTATATATGACAAGGGCTATAAAAACGACGATATCTTCAATTGGGGGAAAAAGAATATTTGTTTGCTAAAAAGTCAATACATTTGAGACGGCGATGATTCACTGCCAGCAGCATCTTAAAGAAGTGATTTACATTACAATAAGGACAAAATTTCTTAAAAACGACAAGATTCATAAGATCTACCTCTTTCAACGAGAATGGCAGCGATATACCAAAATACAAGGATAATAGCAACACTGTAAAACCACAATAAAACGACAAAATATTTTGTCAGAGGACAACTTTTATAAAACCACGTCAATTATAATCCAGAATAATTACAAAACGACATAATCTACAATAGACGACAACACATTTAGAAAAGCCAAATTTCATCATAAAGGAGGTGTCATATAAGCGACAAGACTTTAGGAAACGAGGATCATCTTTCGAGTTATCACGAAGCCGAAAGAGAAACAAAGGAAAGTCAAAAAGATTGACAAGAAAATGAAATACGGGCAAACAATTATGTTTGCTTATTCACTTGTAAAATTTCTCTGAAGTGGATTAATTTTTGAAAGGCTTCGGAAGGCCCATTTTCACGTAACAGCACAATTCTCTTGGGAAAAGGCTTGAAAAATATGCTTCTACATAGTTTTAGGCGTCAAGCTGTAAAGCACCAGCAAAACCCTATTATTCCGTGTGAAGCTCTTCATAGCTTGAAGGGGAATAACGCCCGAAACGAACAATTTCCAAGAATCACACTCAACTAATTGACTTGTTCCTCTTCTCTTGGCTAATGTAATTGTCACACTCAAGAATCCGTAAGTAGAAAAGTATATTATGAACTCCTTTGAGAGGAACAGTTTAAGGGTATGTTTGGTCTATAGATTTGATACACAATTCAAATCTTTTTGTATAGTATTTTCTCTAACAAACATTTTATTTTATTTTTATTTTTATCTTTTAAAACCTATGAATTAAATGGATATAAGTTGCAACATCTAAAACAAAAATGCAGTAAAAGCATACCGTTTCAACCAGGATAGGATCACCATATATGACAATAAATACAATCCACTACTTTCTAATTTCAGTTAGTTTTATGTTCCAAGATGATAAAAGTACAACAACGTACCATTCGTTACCCGTGATAAGATGGTATGAGAAAACAACTCTGCCCTATATACTACACGTTTCTCAGCTTTGAATGGCCAGTCTTAACGAACAGTCTTCATATGAACCTCCAAAATTTTAGAAATTTTGGGCAGATCTCCAGCCAATTTGACCGTCATTCACAAGCTGGTTTGGTGTCAAAGCTGCTCAAGCAGATTGCAAAAGCTTGGAATGCAGAGAGTGGATAGCTGTAATCCATTGTGAAGATGTCTTTTCCTATCTTCCCAAACTGCAGGATCACCCTTTCTTGTTCTGCCTCCGAGACGTTGTGCGATGGATCAACAGCTGCGACGAGCTGAAAATTCTTGACAGAAGCCACTGTAACACGCCCTTTGAAATTCAGGCACCAGCATTGCAGTTGCTCATGCCACCTAGGCGCCTTGTTCTTCAGAACCAGAGGTTCTACACCCTGGACCGATGCTGGCGGCTTTGAGAAGCTTGTAGAGCTGAAGTCTATGAACGGCTCCTTCCCTTTTAAGTTTGGCAAGGGACTCGAAAACTGCTCATTGAATGAGTGTGGGAATGAAGTTGGTGTGAAAGCAGTGCCACCTTCCTGAATAGAAGATACAGGAATTGAGTTCATGACGCAATGCAATCTCCTTGGACCTCTTGTGCGGAGAACATTCAGCTCATAGGAGATATTACCAACACCGTAATTACATGCTGGTACTCTTGGAGACACCTGCTTAGAATGGAATCTTCGAGATGCTCGGTTATTCGGTTGTAGTGCAGGTGCATCATATGGCAGCTGGCTGTCATAGATTGTGAACTTGGTACCCAAAAAATTGGACCTGACAAGATTTTGTGGATAATCTGTTAGGAACATGAATAACTAATATAAAGCAAACTACAATTTCAACACCAGGCATAACTAGACTTGCCTCAGTTTTCCAATATAGTTGTTGCTGGCCCGGGAGAAATCATCCACAACCAAAGATATAACGAAGTCCGTGCTTGTTGCCCTTCTAATCTTTTTGGCCGCCAACAACAATTTATCCCTCTGTCCCTCAGCTGTTAATTTGATAACATTATAAGTGAACACCACAAAGCACCTGATAAGTTGAAAATTTATTACGTGGTTCTCTCATTCAATCAATTAACTGGGCAAAATAAATTGATAGAAAACAACTCACAAGGCACCAGACCCAAGTAGAGATAGAATGTAGAGTTTGCTCTATCCCTTCTAATGAAGCACTGTATCAGAGATTCCCGAGGCCCCGGCTACAGATAAGATAACCATACAAACAATAAAATAACAAGTAGAGCGTGTAATAACACAACAAAGAAACGACAATGATTCAAAAACAACTACCTGTTTCAATGAGATTGGGAAAGTGAGCCTTCCACATTGCTCAGGAGTTTTGACAATCTCTCTAATGATGTCCCTCCAGGACCTACAAACCGAAGCGCAGAAAAGAACAACAGCGCGAGCGGGCCATGAGGTCTCACTCTCTTCAACCCTTCTTAATATGTCCAAGAGCAATTCAGGAGGTAAATTCGTCCATTGAGACTGATGAAGGGAATCAGTTGAAGATGGTGGAGCTTCATCAGGAACAATTGCTGTTTGGGACCTAGTAAGACCACGCCATTGCATCCCTTCACCCACTCGCTTTGACATGTTCCCAATTCCATCTTTCATTTCCCTCAGCTCACGAACAATGATTTTAAAGGACATTTTTCTTAATAGATTTTCTTCCCAATTCTGTCCTTCAATAGTAATAGCTTCAGAAAAAGGAAAATAACATAAAATTTAAACAGACGCTTCTTTTACCATTTTCAGTTCACAAAAATCCTACTTTTATTCACGGAAAAGAAATTCAAAACTCCATAATACAAAAAAATTCCTTCCTCAGTTCTCTCCCTTCAACAATAAATTAAATAAGCGCTTGTTTTATCATTTTCAAGCCAAAGTTCACAAAAATCCTGTTCTTTTTTCGTTCGCTGAAGTGAAATTCAAAAGTCCATGCCACTAAATCGACACAAAGATAGAAAATTTACAAAGATTGTGTCACGAACATCCATGTAACAGCCAAAAAGATTTCAACCGCTGAAAAAAAGAAGAAGAAAGAAAAGCACTAATTCGAACTCCATTAAAATGCTACAAAAAGTTCTTTTTCTACTCATAATCACGTCAAAGAGAAAAACCGAACAGATCGATAAAGATAAGCCAAACCAGTTCGGAAAATGAAAAGCTTTCAATTGAAACCCACAAGAATCTTCATGTCAAATCAGAGAACTCACCGGCGATTATAGTTATCGAATCGAATTAATTCGAAAACCTAAATCGGAATTCCTCACCATAACCATCGCCATCACCGCCACCACCGAGGAGAGCTCTCGCTCAAAGCAACAAACTGGATCCAGGCGCTGTTTTCCATTGTTTTCTTCTGATTCCTATTATATTATATTTTATATGGATAAGAAGAATACAAATAGCAAGAAATGAGCTGTAATTTCACTTTTTTTATTCAGCAAAAAAAAAAAAATTTCCTCTTTTTTTTCTTTAAATTTTCTTTTTTTTTTTAATATAGAAACTATTATTATAAATCATATGCGTAAGATGCAATAACAGATTTTATGAGGAGATTCCTCAAACTAAATTGGTTTATTAAAAGAGTGTTAAATACAGACTTTTATCCATATGCTACCTTCTACTTTTAACTTGTACCACCTTATTTTTTTATAAAAAAAAAAAACACTTAATAACAAGTTGTTTCTCTCCAATATATTTATTATAATATCATTATTATGTCTCGTTTAGTTTGAGTTTTTAATTTAACTTGAGATATAATTTTATATGAAAGTTTTTAATTATAATAAAAAAAGTAAAAGTGATTTTTTATAAGAATTTTTAATTATAACAAAATTAAAATTAAAAACTTAAATCAATGAGATGAACGAGCCTTTAGATATTATTCTTGCACTCATTCTTTATACAAATCGCCACCTTACTCGTCTCATCCATTATTTATACGATTCCCACGTTTCTTTTATTATTATTATTTTTTTCCTATTTACAAGCTTGCAAGTAACATCCAAGTTTATAAGGAGACAGTAAGGTGATAGATCAAAATGAACACTGATTTTTCCTAATCAAATAAAATAAATAAATAAACGTTCATTATCCTTACAAATCAAGCCCTTCGTTTTTTTTTTTTTAATATTCATTATCAAACTCTATTTTCAAGAAACAGAAAAAGAAAAAGAAAAGCAAACTCCACATACAAAAGATTATCTTGCAAAAATAGTACTTTAATAAAAGATATTTTTAAAATTAGAGAACATAGGGTGGTCTTAATGCACTTTTACGTAAGTTTATTATAGGTAGTAGTTAAAAAGAATTAAAAAAAAAAAAACTCGTGACCTTTAATTTTAAGGTCATATATTATGCTCCAAATTCATCTAATTTGTTGCATTTGACTTTAATGATATTAAATTAATATTTTCAAGGAACGACCTCTTCGTTGTTCCTAAAATATCTCGATCGTTTCCCAATTATTTCTCAATCGTTCATGAAATTTACTAATTAGATCAACTAAATTCAATCATATTCCATTGTTAATCGTGTCACAATGAGTATTATAGAGTAATGTTATAAAAAGTACCATAAAAACCTAACGTGAGTCAATATGCTCAGTGATACTCGATTAACCAAAAATTTCTGCAATCTCAGCCTATGCCTTTAAGAATGTTGAAAAAAAAAAAAAAAAAAAAAAAGAAAAACCTCATGCCCTAAAATCAAAGATCATTTGCCTTTAGGGTTTTTAAGTGTTTTTAGAGCTTTTTAAGGGTTTTTTAATGGTTTTTTTTTTAGAGTTTTTAGGGTTTTTTTTAGTGTTTTTTTTAATGATTTTTGGGGGTTTTTTTTAAGAGGTTTTTAGGGTTCTTTAAGGGGTTTTTAGAGTTTTTAGGGTTATTTTATTGTTTATTTAGGATTTTTAGGGTTTATTTATGATTTTTTAGGATTTTTAGCATTTTTTATGGGTTTTAAGGATTTTTTAGGGTTTATTTAGGATTTATTTAGTGTTTTTTTGGGGGGGTTTTAAGGGTTTTTTTAGAATTTATTTAGTGTTTTTTTTTGTGTTTAGTGTTTTTTAGGGTTTTTCGTGTTTTTAGGGTTTTTAGGATTTTTAAGGGGTTTTAAGTGTTTTTAGGGCTTTTTTTAGTGTTTGTTAGGGTTTTTTTAATTTTTATGGGGTTTTAGGGTTTTTAAGGGGTTTTAGTGTTTTTTTAGGGTTTTTAAGGTTTTTAGGTTTTTAGGATTTTTTAGGGTTGTTATGGTCTTTTGCAATTTTTAGGGTTTTTAGGGCTTTTCTAGGATTCTTTAATGGTTTTTTTTTTTTTGGATTTTTAGGGGTTTTTTTTTGGGTTTTTATGATTTATTTAGGAATTTTTAGGGTTTATTTAGGGTTTTTAACGGTTTTTAAGGGGTTTTTTTTTCAGTTTTTAGGGTTTATTTATGGGGTTTTGGGATTTTTAGGGGTTTTCTACGGGTTTTTATGGCTTTTTTGGGTTTTTAGGGTTTATTTAGGGTTTTTTGAGATCTTTTTGAGGTTTTTAGGATTTGTAGGGTTTATTTACGGTTTATTTAGGGTTTATTTAGGTTTTTTAGGGTTTTTTTTTTTTTTTGCCTTTTTAGGGTTTTTAACGTTTTTTTTTTGTTTTAGGGTTTTTTTAGGGGTTTTAAAGGTTTTTTAGGGGTTTTAAAATTTTTAGGGTTTATTTAGGCTTTTTAGGGATTATTTAGGCTTTTTAGGGTTTTTAGCATTTTTAGGGTTTATTTATGTTTTTTTAGAGTTTGGTAAGGTGTTTTCAGTGTTTTTTTAGGGTTTTAGGGTTTTTTTAGGGTTTTTAGGGTTTTTTTAGGGTTTATTTAGGATTTATTTAGGGATTTTTAGGGATTTTAAGGGTTTTTCAGGGATTTTTTAGGGTTTCTCTAGGGGTTTTTAGGGTTTTTAGGGTTTATTTAGGGTTTATTTCGGGTTTTTAGGAGTTATTTAGGGATTTTAAGATTTTAGCCTTTTTTAGGATTTTTATGGTTTATTTCGGGGGTTTAATGGTTTTTAGGGTTTATTAGCATTTTTTAGTGTTTTTTTTAGGGTTTTTAGGGTTTATTTTGGCTTTTAAAGGGGTTTTAGGGTATTTTAGGGTTTATTTAGGATTTTAGGGTTTTTTTTTTTTGCCTTTTTAGGATTTTTTTAGGGGCAATTGAGGGTTTTTTCGGGTTTCTTAGAGTTTTTTGGGTTTTTTTAGGATTTTTTGGGGTTTTTAGGGTTTTTTAAGTTTCTAAGCATTTTTAGGGTTTTTCAAGCCGTTTTTAGGGTTTTTAGGAGTTCTTTTGGGTTTTTTAGGGTTTTTAGGCTTTATTTAGGGTTTTTTTTGGTTTCGTTAGGTTTTTTAAAGGTTTTTTATGGGTTTTTAAGGGGTTTGTAGTGTTTTTTAGGATTTTTAAAGAGTTTTAAGGGTTTTTTAGGTTTTTGTAGGGGTCTTAGGGATTTTAATGGTTTATTTATGGTTTTTAGGGTTTATTTAGGGTTTATTAGGTTTTTTTAGCCTTTTTAGTGTTTTTATGGGTTTTTAGAGTTTTTTAGGGTGTATTTATCGCTTATTTAGGTTTTTAGGGTTTTTAGGATTTTAGGGGTTTTTTTGGGTTTTTAGAGTTTTTAGGGTTTTTTGGGGTTTTTATGGGTTTTTAGGGTTTTTTAAGGGTTTTTTATGATTTTTTACGGTTTTTAGGATTTTTTTAGTGTTCTTTAAGGGTTTTTTTTATGGTTTTAGGGGTTTTTAGGGTTTTTTCCGTAATTTTTGAGGTTTTAGGGGTTTTTATGGTTTATTTAGGGTTTTTTTT